AATAAGGCCAAGAAAACAATAGTTAAAATTATTAGATTCTTATGAAATCTGATACCTTTTGACTAGATCTTTCCTAGTAATTTCTACTAATAAAGTACAAAACAGAGAAGTTAGTCAATAGAAAGTAGAAAGGAAAATTTTTAAACTAAAATAAAACAGAGCTTTTCTTCTGGCTGAAGCTTTTTTCCAAGTTATTTTTTGTAACTTTGCAGATATCTCTGATTCCACTCACATTTTAAAAATATGTAACTATTCCTTTCAATGATAGCAACATTATGTACAGTCTCTCTCTTATATGTGCAAATTACTTTTTCACCTGTTTGAAAGTGACCTGTGAGTAAAAGGGTGCCATTTCCATTTGATGCTATAAGCAAAAACATCATTCTACATAAATATTTATTTCTAGGGTAAAAATAAATAAATAAATAAATAAATAAAATTTGTTTCATTCCAGTTCCTAGAAGGTGAGATTTTACATTACAGTTTCACATTTGGCATGGGCTGGCATATTTGTTGGCACAAACTGAAGGTTTAATGAGGCTTAAGAGAGTCTTACAGTCTCCTTAACTAGAAGCTAATATTGTCAAGCCTACTGCTAGACGTACACAAGGCCTGTTGTTTGTGGACCCCGTACCCCATGAGGGAATAAAAGAAAACAGCATTGTGTTGCTGACTTCCAAATCATTAAAGCTACATAAAATCCATGCCAATTTGGGCAGCAGAGGTTCCCCAGGGAGATGTAGACCATCTTTCTGGAAAGCTATGTTTCTCCCCTTCACTGTGGTGCTGCGTGTGAAACTGGATTGCTATGCTTTACTCCCTGCTTTTTTTGAGGCACATACACCAAATCTCTGCCTCTGCTCTGAACTACCCCATAAACAACCTTCTGAGACTGAATCCTTATGCCAGCAGGAAAGAGGAGGAAAACATATTATTTCTTGTACTTTACCACAGGGGAGCCTAAATTAAAAGCTTGACAGAGCATCCTCGGTTTGCTCAAAGAAGCCCTGCCAGGCTGGAGACCCAGGGATAGTATAGTGCAGAGACGACTGCATGGACGCTTTTACGTATCATAGTTTATCCACAGCTTATCTGTGGATAAACTCAGTGCTTTGAACTTGGGCTGGGGATGCTTGCATACCACGGCTGTAGCTTACCAAACTCTGCAATATAATTTCTTGTTTATATTGAACTTTTCAGTAACAAGTGGTTATGTGGGTCTGCGAATAGGAAATAATCTTATTTTGGGAAGGTCCTGCTAAAAATTGTATTAGTTTCAGTAACATATGTATCAAACATCTATATTAGTATAAGATGTCTACCAAGGAAGTCACTTATATTAGGGTCTTATCTTACATATTAGGGATTATTACATCATTTACGTTAGGAAAGTCAGGCTGTGTTTTCAGCATTGTGACACCAGTGAATTTGAATTAAGGAGTGATGAAAGGTTGATGTTGAATGATTAAATAAGATGTTCAGAAGACAACCTGATGTGTGGATCTAGCTCATATACCCATATGCAGATTGGACAATTTGGGTATAACAGGCTGTGTTTGTCAGCGAGGGATATATCTCCACCTTCCTGGATTTCCAGTCTCTGATAACTGTAATTTGTTTTGTTCTGGCCAACACAATGAGTTTTGAGAGTTACAAAGGCTTTTGTGATGTTAATGATGGATATTACCCAAATATTTTGTTGTTTTTCCTGTGAGAACACAACTTTTTAAAGAATAATACTTGCATTAATTTTTGCGGTGGATTAGAAGGATAATTAAAGAGTAGGTGTTAAACTGCCTAATTGTCAGTAAGCTGTACACTGTGTTTGGAAAAAACTCCCAGTCATTGGGATCTCCAAAATGTGCAGTTCAATAATAATAATAGTTCTGGGGAGAGAGTTCACTGAAGCTTTTGTTTTTCATTAAAAGGGACAAGAGCTATATAACCTGTTCTCTAAGATCAGATTTCTAACACTAGGAATCAAGTTGGTATTGGCTTTATCATTGAGGAAAGCCAAAACTAAATTCACTGACTGATGAAAAAAGGGTGAACAAAGATTATTCTTGTATCATTAAGGATGACAGTTATTTGTGTGTGGAGCATATTATAGTCTTCTTTTTTATAGCCAAACAAAATTGTTAATATTCACAGAGAGCTGTCCACAACATCATTCTCCATACAGGGTTTACTGCCTTGAATGTTTGGTTAAATTCCCAAAGCATGGAATAGAATTTGCTTTGAAGGTCAGTAAAGGTTTACATCATTTTTTTACAAAAACTTTTGGAGATGAAAAGCATCTTTCCAGCCATTGCTCTTTCCAAGTAACAACACTCAGATAGTAAATCTTTAAAAAATCAAATTTTCTTGGGTGATTGTGTGGTAAATTTTGTTAAATGAAAAGAAAATTTGATTAATTATAAATTCCCTCCCTGTAGCTCTAAGAAGCTAATAAACTGTAAGTTTCAGCACTGAAAGAAATAAAACTAATAAATCTCTATGAGAGTATTTGTTTCAGAGTTTTCCTTTCCTCTTATGAATGTGTTTCATGCTGAAACCAGGACAGAATGGCGTTGAGTTTCCATAGTCTAGTGGCATGTCATAAGGTATTCTCCTCAGCAGCAGCTTGATGGAGACAGATTACCTTTCAGGTGCCATAGAAAGAATAACGTCATTGCAAAGAGGTTAAAAATCCAGGAAAACAATGTATTTTAATAAATGAAAGATGTCGAAATTAATTATCTCTAATTTTGTCTCTTTCTTAAAAACAATCATCATGTTCTTGATCATCTTTTAGATCAATCATGGCTTATTCTTTGTCAATCGTTGACTGTCAGTGAAGCAATAAGGAGGGGCAATCACTTATTGTGCAATGACTGTGCTCACATTTACCCAGTGTTGTGCGGGAAACTGCTGCTTCTCCCAGTTTATATGTGCTTTCCTAGGATATCAAATATACAGTTATGAGAAGGTTAAGTTTCACCTTACAGCTGCCAAATATTACAGTAAAGTTAATAAGGCCACCAGGAAAAGGGATGAGCGCTAGCTTCTCAGAGCTGTTATGAAAGGTCAGTCTGAGAATTTCAGAGAGGGCAAAGGGACCGCATTTTAATGGCACTATGCTGTCGAGTCTCCCAGGTGCCTTTGAAAATCCTAGCTAAAAGCTTACAGGGAGGATTTTTTTAAACAAAGTAAAACAATTGATTTTTCAAGCACTGAAGAAAGACTTCTGAAAATGATGTGGACAATTTTCATATATATTTAATGAGTATTGTTTCAGTTTAATCTTTTAGGTGCAGACTGTAAATCTTGATTGTATGTTTATTTTTTGTTGAGGGACATATGTCATAGAAATACTATTTGTTAATTTTTTTAATATTACCATAATAAACGCATGTAGGCAACCCTTAGCTCCTGAAAGCTGTCACACGTCTAACTGAATCAAAATATCATATCTTTCAGTAATTGAAGATATTTTTCATCTTCCTATGAAACTATTTAACAATCATGATAAAAATTAAGTGGAGCTATGTGTCATATTTATCAATGCAAATCATATTCTGATAAGTGTTCTTTCAATCATTAGATCTCTAGTAGACAGGTATAAGTCCTAAGACTGCAGCCTTTGCCTGTATGTTGTCTACAGCTTGTCAAAAATTGCCTCCCAGTAATTTTCAAAGAAAAAAATTATGCTTCCAGCTAAATATGTGTTTTATAGAAAGTGCATACTTTAGGCACACTTTTTTTTTTTTAACAGAGCAAATATAAAAAAAAATTTTGTTTTAAAATTTTTGTTTTCCAAATATCATTAGCCCATGTTAATCTAGTCATCTAAAAGGCATAGGTGATTAATTTTGGATACCACATCTACTGTTTTCAATAGGGAACTAATGAGCAAAAATTTTGCTTTTAGCAAAAACTAAGCTTTAGCAACAGTGACAAGCCATATTGTCCCAGATAGTTTGCAAAAGGGATGTGGACTCAGTTCTTAGATTTATGAATAAACATTATAGAAGGGCTTCATTTTTGTATGTACGGTGTATTTGCCACCCTCTTAGAGTCACAGGGAACACAATCCAATAATAATGCTCATGAGGTAAGAAAACATAATTATATGTTAAATATTTGAATAAGGAGAAATTTATTATTAAACTTTTGTTTTTCCAGTCTCAGCTCTGGAGAAATAGTCCTTCTGTTATTACTGAAAAGAAAAATAATCTGAGTGGGCTTCAAAATATAAGACAGGAAGGCTGAGCTTTCTCAAGGGCAGCAAGTAATACTTATATTGCAGATGCTTGTGCTATTCCTGTATCAGGCCTGATCCTGCATTACTGAGATCAAAGGACGTTTTTCACTTCACTTCATTGAAGGAAGTTTTATGTGGAAAAACAAAAGACCTAGTTCTACAGTTTTGATAGTTTGATCCAAATCCCATAAACAAACAACTGAATAAATGGACACATTTAGGCTTGACTGAATACATTTTTTTTTCTTTTAAATAAGCCGTGCATGGTGATGAAGAACTAAAAAAAAAAAATACCTTGAAAATGATAAAAACCTATTCTTAGTGAAGCCCCCTGTTAGGAAAAGAAAGTAAGCTGTTCCTATGTAGTTTTCATTGATCTTGTGGATTTTCTACTGTCATAGACTTCAAAATGTATTGAACACATTGATTAATTTAATATATGATCTTCCTTAAAAGCCAAAGCTGTAAATAATCATATTCATTAAAATAAGAATTAATTAGATGAACGAATAACAGCAATGCCTGATTTTTATGATATATGTCTGGCTACTTAATGTATAAAAAAATTGCATTCAGACTGGGAAATGGAAATTTGTTTTAACTCAACATTACATGATTACCAAGTGTCTGATGAGGGTTTTTCTTCTTTTATTGACCCCACTTGTGTTCAAAGATGCCTTTATTTAGAAAGAAATGCAGTTGTGAAGCAAGAAAGCAACCGAACCGCTTTACTAACTTGTTGTCTTTACTGTTTCAGAGCTGCAAGAAACTAAGACCTCTGAATATCACAGGATATCCCACAGTCCCCTGGATTACAGGATATTATTAATGGATGAAGATCAGGATCGGATCTATGTGGGCAGCAAAGATCATATTCTGTCTTTGAATATTAATAATATAAGCCAGGACCCTCTCAGTGTAAGTTCAAGACTTATTTTGAGAATCCAAGGTTGCTTTTCTTTTTAAGACAAGAAAAGTGTATTTCATTATTTTGCAGCAGGCAAAAGTCCAGGCATGCACCTTATTGAACCGTTAGTCCTTGGTTTATGTGTAATACAAGATGAACAATCTATTAGCATGGCTGCTCCTCAAACACTGTTTAAAAACTGACCTGTTTACTCCCTTTGAAGCGATATTCGGAATGGCTTGGCCTCATAACGAAAATTTGTATGGGTTGATGGTTTCCACTCCTCTCCAAGATTTAAGATAATTCAGAGATGCACTTTAAAAAGAAGCCTGTAAGGAAGAATAAGATACTTGCAATCACTTTCAGGCCATAGGGAAAAAAACAACAGGGACAGAGCTGCCTTTAACCTTCAACTATATTTATTTTTGTTTTGTACTCTGAAGCCTAATCACAGAAATATTTTCCAATCTTTTGTTATGTCTGTGTCAGCCCTCGCCCTTCAGTTGGGTAGCTGAGACACCTCCTGTTTGGGGTTTTTTGGACACTATGACCCTCATCTCCCTCTTGATGCCACCTCTTTTCTGGCTTCTCTCACTTACCGAGATGCCATTTTCTAAGGACTCTTTGTGTCCCACGTCCTCAAACTGTAGTAGGCAACCTGTATATAAAAAGAATCGATTTATCAAATGTTTAAACCACTTTCACGGATTCCTCTTTTGTTCCCAGAGCCAGTTCAAATCCAGCTTCTCTGCTTTTAAAACAGGTGGCCTGCAGAAGTACTTGTGTGCCCAGAAGCATGACTGTTAAGATATTAGCTCTCCACACCTTGCCTATCTTTAGATTATCACAGCTACAACACTACCTTAAAGTGTACTGTATAGGCCTTGTTCTACCAAATTCATTTGATCCTTTAATCTATGAGCTTTATTACTATACCTCAGGAGTATCGAGGGGCAGAGATAGCCAGCTTGCAGCAGCGAAGTTAAATGCTTTCCTTAAGAGGCAAGACTTCTAATGTGTCAGGAGAGAGGGAGAGGCCCTGCTGGAGGGTGATTAAGAGCACTTAAATTAGGCTTTGCTCTGACTCACCCTCTGGACATGCCTGTCTACCTGAATTGATTGTGCAGGGAGTCTGGGGAGGCTAACTCTAACTTACACATTTAAATTAAATGCCTCTCGTGTGATGGCGTGAATGCGCCCTTCCTCCTCATAGTGGTACAGAAATCTTCCTCTGAAATGGGGCCGCCTTCTCTGATCTGAAATAGCTCGTGCGAACTTTTTGCTAATTCCCATCTCCCCAGTGATCTGGCCATCCTTGTCTGGGAGCTGCTGTGCTCCCGCACGGCAGGCTCCAGCCTTCCCTTAGCAGGTCGCCTTTAATTCTGTGCAGAAATCGGTTAGATAGGAAGGCCTCCGTTGCATGAAATATATTCTGCAGTATAAAGTTGCAAGGCATTTCAAGTCTATTTAGGCCTGGAAAAACAAGAATTAAAAAAATCAGAAAGCAACACCACCCGAAATTTTCTGGCAGCCAATGTGATTACCCAGTATTAGGCTCAGAATTAATCTCTGCAATTCCACGTTCCTTCATTTGTTTATTTATTTTTATAACAGATTCACTTTGCTAATTTTATGCCTCTATAGAAACCCTATATACAAATGCATACCTACAACTCTCTGCATATATATATATGTATGTATATATATCTACAGAGATCTTTTAATGCTATAATTTATGTTATCTTGAGGCTAAATGTTATCAGGCTCTGACACCTACTAAATTTCTAGGGAGAGATTTCTAATGGATGTCTTTTCTATTTCAAAATCAAAATAAATAATGGAAGAAGCTCAAAAACTTCAGAGTTTGAGTATAGATCAGATAAACATTCAGCCATTGAGGTGTGTGCTTGTTGGAAAACTCTGTAGTGCAAGATATCTTGGAAAGAAATCAAGAAAACTGTGTGAAGTCTTAAGATTTTAAGCAGGTTTTGTCATAAGAGATCCAAACCTTTACTGTTAAAAACAAAAATTTTTTACAAGAACCCTTCTTTCAATATTTTAGTCTTCTGTTTTCTAGTGTGAACAATTGCTAGAAGCTCAGTAGAAGCAAAAAAGTAAAGATGGACAGTAATTTAGACAACGATGATGAAAATATTTCTTATTTAGAAGAAAAGTTTAAATAAATTTATTAACTTATCTTAAAAATATTTAATAAAATTAATTTATATCAGCCAAAGACCTGGGCCTTTATTTTGTTTACTGCATGCTAGACAGAAAGTTGTTTTCATTGAAAATCCTTTTTTGCCTTATAATGAAGGTGTAAAATATATCAAAATATTAACTTATTAGTGTAAGTTAGGCACTGACTTTAGTTAGCTTTTTGGCTGTCATTAAAAAATAATTATGTAATAAATATGTTACTTAAAAGATATTTCTTTCTTTACAGATTTTCTGGCCAGCATCAGCAAACAAGGTTGAAGAGTGCAAAATGGCTGGCAAAGATCCTACAGTAAGTTATAATCCACATGCACATGCACACACATACACAAACTACATACTTGGCAATAAAGTCAGAGCACCTTGAGTGCAGCCAAAAACAAAATGAAAGAAGTGTTTGTTTTGCTTTTTAAATGCTCTGCAGGCCAAACGATAAAGTGAAATTATGAAAAAACAGGCTATGTAAATAGAATGCACCTTCAGACTTTGACAGATGGAAAAAGATATGCATTGTCCACTTCCTTGCCTTTTCTTCTTATTACTGGTCAAACTAGGTAAGAGTACTTTTCCAGATATGTCCTGGGGATGATGCCGAACAGTCTGTTCAGTGTGGGGAAGCGCTCTGGCTGTTTGCTCGCCCCAGGAGCAGACCCTAGAGGCGGGTGGTACCCGCTGTCTGCAGCCTGAAGACCCCAGACTCAGGAACACCCCAAACACCTCTTCCCATTGCTTCCACAAAACAATCCCCAAATAAGTATCTGGAAACCAGTATGCTTTCCAAGAAAGAGGTAAAGAGGATCTCTGCAATCATGGGAAACACAGACCATGGAGCAGTTGTCTTGAGTCACTTTGTATCACAGCTGATTATTCTCCCATCTAAATGCAGACACCTTCCAAAGGACCTAAATCAGATGGTAGTTTCCTTATATACTCTTTATAGATAATAGATAGAAATGAGGTATTTTGAAAGACCCAGTGAGTGGTACAATACAGCAGATCCTGTCTTTGGCAGAGTTGTATATTAATGTGGTTATCTTCCTAAAGTAATTTGAACTTACGGTCTGTATATGCCTAAATTTTATTAACAGAAGACAGTTAAATTGTGAAACAAAAAGCAGAAAGTCACATTTCAATCTATTCAGTTACCTTTTGACTTTTTACCAGTTCAGCAGCACCTAAAGGTCTTTATCCTGGTTTTCTTTTTACCTCTTTAGATATAGCTGTTTTCCAACTGATATTTTAGTATTAGAATTCAGAATCTAATCTGAGCCAGAAATTTGCAATTTCTCACTACTAAATTTATAAGAAAAACCAATGAAATTTTGCTTATATTTTTATTTGAGAAAAAAAAACTATGGAAATCAAAGCCTTCACATTAGGTATAATCATCTTTGGAACATACTCCTCAGCATGTATCTAGGATCATAATTAATGAAGTGATTGAAGGACGTAAGCAGGTGTATGTAAATATAGCTTTTAATTTCAGAAACAATAGAGTTAATGCAAAAGTCCACTGACTTTAGTATAAAAACTGTTATTTATTTCAAAGGTCTCTATATCATGCCTAATATTTCTATTTATTTTAGCTACATATTTTGTATTGTTAACTAAGCCAACAGATGACATGCAATTCAGTTACTGCAATGTTACAATAATTCACCTGAGTCCATTTTGTAAGAAAAATATGTGGGGGCTTTATTTTGAAAATCTATTGCAAATGCTGATGAATGTAAGGAAACCAGAAGGTTGGCCTACTGGAGTGTTGCTGTAATATTGCTTTTTCAAAACTATGGAGAGTAATTCACTATATTGCTGCAGAGCAACAGAATGATTCTTTATGAATAACTATATTATGGTTGGTATGGCAGCTTATCTGGTTTCTTTCCTGATAGCTGTGGTGGTGAAAAACAAGTATTTTTCCTATTGAATATCCTATTTTTCTATACATATTTACATTGTTCTGGTTACTGCAGCGTGCAGCAAATTCTACAGCTAGTGGCCTGTTAAGTTGCACTAAATGTGAAAATAAAACATACAGATTTCTGGATACAACCTCTGTTTTTACAACAGTTTAATTGTGGGTACAGCTAATATCTTGTAATGTAGATAATTAAGAATGTCCATGTGCATCAACTTTGACTGATTTTTTAATGCCAGCTGTGCATTGCAGAAGAAGAACTAAGTTCCAAAAATAGAAGTTTACATTAAGTTTCTTAGTATTTGTCCTCAAGAGTTTAAAAGAGGGAAAAAAAAAAGGTACTGAAGAGCAGTTGCTGCTCCCTCTAAAATCAATGATGTGTCTTATTGAAAGCTCACTTAAATAATGAGAAAAAGAGAACCCAATGCTAAATCACTGTTTGCAACTTAAAATTTATAGTTCTATTTTAATAGCATTCTTGTGAGTTTCATTCTTGATAATAATGGGAGAAGCAGAGAATTAATTCATAAGAATTAAGAATTTCAAATGAGAAAAAAAAAGGGGGGGAGAGTGCATGCATGATAACGTTTGGCCTGTCAGAGAACTGTGATTATCACAAGGTAAAAGAGAAATAGATAGACTTGGAGGAGCCAGTAAAGGACTTTATGCAATCAGCAAATTCTTTTCCAAGGAGATTGGGGGGAGGAAGTTCATTTGCCCTACCATTAGACAAACATTGGTGTCTGAATTTGTCATCTTTGGCTGCCTTTTTTGTTTCTGAAAAGAAATTGTCACCTCTAAATAGTATGTTCACTAGGCTAACTTGAATGCTTACATTAGTATGACATCTATTTCTTTTCATTTACTGTGATGAGATCCTAGGGCATAGATGTCTGACTTTCAGATGTTTACAGTAAGGCAGGTCCCCAGACACTGCTACTGAGTTTGGTATCAGCTCCAAGAGGAGCGCTGGTAGTATGTGAGCATCTACAGCTTAGCCACCACCTTTGACAAACATCCCTCCTAAAGACAACTTTTTCATGTCACCTCAGACCAGACTGATTTAAAACCACAAAGTACTCCAATATCAAGGAAAGGGAAATAAACTGAAGCATAGGTGCTTTTGAATGGCAGTCCTACAGAATATATTCTGAAATAACAATTTCTTGCTTTCTTGGTTGTGGAGTCACAGTGCAGTACCCAGATTAATCACGTAGCAAATTGCAAATGGAGTTCAGTGGTTCAACACTAGAGAGATGGGCAAAGGTTCAGAGAAGATCATAAAATGGTCTTCCTGCCGGACAGCATTAAAATTTGAGAATGTTGGCATTGAGCCAACTTGTGTTACCAGTCTGTAAATCATCAGTGAAGAGACATGAAGACACAGTTCATCTAACCCCCTGTGTTCTTGCACTTTGGAAAGCGCATGGCATGGTACTGAAGCAGAGTAGCAAGTGCGAGGTACCAGTACTGTTCATGTAGACATTGTTTCCTGGTCCTGATCCCTGAAAACTTTCATTCTGAGATTTCTCAGCATGTAATCCTTTATCTAGGAGTCTTCTAGAAAGGTTTTCTGCAGACAGCAAGAAAAGAAAGCATCAGTTTACGCTCTGGCATATATAAGCTAGTGGTATACCTTCACCTGCCCTTCTTCCCTTTCCACAGCTGTAATGTGGATTGGTAGTACTGCTGAGAAAAACACAATTTTGATAGCAAGACGTTACTAAAGCCATCTTTGAGCCAAACTAAGATAGCTGAATATGAGAAAATGGAAACATTTAGGAACAGCCCTCAGCTTTAGAGAAACAATATATTTTGACTGGGTTAAAGGATTTTTCTGATACAGCTAGAGCTAACACTTAACTGAGGACATGCAGTTCCCTGTCAAGAAGCTCCTTCTGTGAACACTGAACTACCTAGAAGTGTGCACCAGTTTTCAGATGTTGTAGTATGGTACCAGCTCCTTCTGAACCAAAAATGTGAATGTCTTTAAATATTAATAAACTGTGCGGTCTGCTGAACAAGGATTAACTCTACTGATTTTCATGAAAATGACTGATGACACAGTATCCAAACCTATGCTCACAAAACACATGCAGTTCTCACTGTCTCTGGTGAAGGTTTGCATGATTGAATATGAAGGCAGTTCTGGGATCTCAGTAAGAAAAATATTCAGAAAAAAATTCTATTTTCAACCTAAAGTGCATTAACAGTTGATCATAGTGAAAAAAGGAAACAGCAAGAGAAAAAAGGGGTGTGCTGGAAGGAGAAAACTGTAAATCTGATGGTGTGAAACTGTGTGGCATTTAATGTTCTGTTTTAATTTTCGTGCTGATTTGAAGATGTTACCATTGATCTTCAAGATGAAGCAACAATTCACTGCAAACTTGCTTTGTGTTGTTCAGAGTTTTAATGTTTTGGAAAGAATTTTTTTACACAAATAATGGGATCTGAGATTTGGGCTTCCTTTGTTTTTTAATTATCACCAGCTATGATGAAAAAATTAGGGGGAAAAAAAGAGACTGTTTTGGAGGTGTCCTTAAGGAAACTTCATAAGGTTACTTCTTGTTTTCCTGCAGAGGCCCTGCTTCTTTCCATGCAAGGTACAGAGAAGTCTGTGGATGAAAATTAGATTGCTGTGTGGAGATGGGAAAGTTACACGCACTCCTCTGTAATTCCTCTCTAGTGCCCTATCAATGCCCAGTTCCCAGGCTAGGCAAAATGGCGTGAAAAGGAAACAGAAGTCTACAGCTGTTCAAATCCAGAGACTACCAAACTTAGTAACATTTTTTGTGATACTATTAAAATTATAAATCATGTCTATTCCCTAGAGTTCCCAACATCTAATAACACTTGCCAATGTGAAACTATTTTTTTCTGTTTTCCCTGCAGCATGGCTGTGGAAATTTTGTGCGTGTGATACAGTCGTACAACCGCACACACCTGTATGTCTGCGGCAGCGGCGCCTTCAGCCCCGTGTGTGTGTATGTCAACAGAGGGCGCAGGTCTGAGGTAAGTCTCTTTTCATTTTATCCAGTCATTTTGTGGTGGATCTTACTCGTGTTACGCAAAACTCAAAATTTTGAAAATGCAAAAAACATTGATCCGAATAGGTTCCTTCACTCATGTTAAATAGAAAAAGAACAAAGATCCATAGTTTTCTGACCTGTTACCAGCAAGAAGCAAAGATGTGATCAAAAGTCATGCCTCAAATGCGATGTTTGTCTACAATTCCACAGTCATACCAAATGCTGGGCTATATTTGATACTACTTTTTATTTGATGTTGTCTGGTGAATTCATTCCTACTATTTGTTGGAAAAATTGCCAAGAAATACTTGAAAGGAAATAGCCAGTTAGATAAAAAGTAAAATATGCCATCCATTTCTTATAACTTCCGTGTGTTACTGATTTCCTGGGAAAAGCCCTTAAGTGGGCTAACTAATCAGGTATGTGAGGGTTTGCTGGACTTCAGCTTAATACCCACTAGATGCAATCCCAGTAGAGGTACCTTTCATCTACTGCACAAGTGTTGCCTCAGTAGATGCTGCCCGGATGAAGTTGGTAAGTTTTCTTATCACTGTGGGATCTTCCAGGGTGTAAATCTTATTTTCTCTAGATATGTCTCAGTTTTTCTATATTCAGTTTCACTGTATATTTTCAATATACAAAGTACCAGATGTTTCGTAAGTATATTGTCCAAGTTTCCTGATTTGAAAGTGAAATGTTTGTTTATGTGCAAATGTAATAGGTAATAAATTAAGCAACCAGAAGGAGAAAGAAAAGCACTTAACCGAGACCCGGCACCTCAGTAGTTTTTGGGTCAGATTCATGTCTGCAGGCACAGGGGTGTGCATTGTATTTTCCTGTACAATGTGGAAGCAGATGTGTTGGGAAGGAAGATCAGAGCGTGCTACCTGGAGTTTTGCCATGTAAGGGCAGCTTTAAAAGCTGGGCTGGCTCCTAGGGAAGAGACTGGGAAATTCATCACTGATTTCATTGGGAGTGGGATGGGAATTCTGGCCAAGACCTAAGACTACTGCAGAGGTTGCCAGGGAGGTGATAAATCATTGTTTCTCCAGGTAGGTTTGCATGGGATGATCTCAGTGACTTTTGGTAGGTCCCTACCTGGCTCCAACCTCCTTAACAGAGTATGTAGTCTGAATCACTGCACTTACAGTCCTAATGAATTATCTAAAAGTAGAGGTTCATAGGCCTGGATTTAAAAGCACAAGCAAGCAGAACTGAATAAGTAAATCCATCCTTCTGGTTAACAGAGTCTGCATTAACTTACTTTGATGTATTTTGAAACTGAGGTCAGCTTTCCTCAGCATTATCCTATTTCTTGACAAATTATTTAAAACATGGAAAGTGACCTCATTTGTCTCTAATTAATGCAATATTCCTTTATCAGCTTAAGTAGTAGTACTGTAGCCCACAGAACTCTAAATCTCATTATTTTAGGGTTTTTGTAAATGAGGTGGGGGGAAAGGGGGAGAGTGGGAAATTACATCTCCAGATGATGCAAGATGTTATATTTCTTAAGTTAAAAATAAAGATACATGTCTTGGAAGAGCAGAACTGACTTCACTTAGCCTGTCTGTATAGCTACATGCCTATGATCAATTGATTAAATAAACTGCTGTTTCAGACGTCTGGAGTCTGTCAGACACTTGACTGTAGGCATCGCATGCTCAAAGCCATTACTGTACAGGCCAACAATAGCATAACAGTTTAAAACCAAGCATTTCCTTCTGAACTTATTGCACATATCAGTGCGTGACTAATTAATAAAGCAGAATGAAAAACTATGTAGTGCTGATGGGACTAGTGAGAACTCTTTTTTTTCTCTGCTTTTATCATTTCACCTTTAATTTAGTACAGTTTTCCATGCACAGAAGGCTGTTTTTGCATGTGCAAAATGGAAATTTTAGAAAGCACATCTGTTTTTCTCTAGAAGCTACAAAGCCTGACAGTAAGAGTCATATCCAACAATCATAAGAACTGGGCTTGTTTTGCTCTTTTGTCTCCAGCATTCCACATAATCTCACAAAAAAGATGGTTTCATTGATGAGGCAGAATGTTGCCCTTTTCCCTGAAACAGAGGTTAAAAAATAATTAATTTTCTTGCTTGGCACACTTGATACTTTGGTCTTTGGTAATGACTCTCTTAGTCATCCAAATATATTCTAATGTCAAAGTGAATGCAAACAGAAGGAAATGTAATCACTATGTGACTTAATTATAGACTAAAAAGTAGTTTAATATATATGAAAATCAAGTGTAATCCTGGAGCTAGTTTAATAGTGCAGTAATGGACATTTTGAATTGGTAAATAGTAGTATAATATAGTAAATATGGATTAACATCAAGCTGCATATTAATCTAGAAGTAAAACAACAAAAAATAACCCACGATCATATTAGAAACTTCATACTTATATTTTAACATTGTTTAGAGAGCTTATTACTGAAACAATAGATAAGATTTCTGTGATTAAATTAGGCAAAACAGAAGAGGGGGAAAAGAGATAGGCGATAATGGATATGAAAACTTCCTGCTGTAGCTGAGCATTTCAGGTTGGTGGAGTCTGCAATTCACTATTGCCAAACGGCTGCTCAGTGATCTGTGTGGCATCCCCATTCCCCTGTGATTTACATTAATTGTTAAAGGGAATATAAAGAGTTTCTGCCCTTAGTCGAATAACTAATACATTGGCATCTATATCACAGAAGCCTTTCTTTGGAATTTTTGTCAGCTACCTTCTTCTGTTGAAACAGAAATGTTTTAAGTTTGGGTGGTTTTTTTTCCTTGCAATTGTGTCTTTCAGCCTTTTATTAAAGATTAGAAGTTTGTTATAGGAGGCTAGGAACAAGTTGTTTGTTTGGTATACAGTAGTATGCAAGTTGATGTGCTATGGATCGATGTCTGTGCCATTACTGACTGCAGTTTTTAAAGAACGGACTTGGACCCGAGAGTCCCTTCTTGCTCAGCACACTGTGCTCTTCAGTATTGCTGGGAACGAAGAAGTGAAGAGGTGCACCGAGATGGGCAAATTTTCTAAAGATATTCAGACTGTTTGTATTTCAAGCTGTAGTCCAGGTTGCTTCTGCTTTGCCAAATGTATTTCCTATTTATAAATCACACAAAATATAAACAAAGCCCCATAACAAGGTTCCTAAACAGCAAAAAATTTCCAAGAGATTTCAGGCTATGGCAAGAGATATGGATAAATCACCTATCACTATGGAATTGGAGCTCTACACATAATCCAAGAGATGGTATTGAAGAAAATAAGTATGATTTAGGGGACTTCTGGATGTCTGATAGCTCAGTAAAGAGCAAATGATTTATACTATCACCAAATGACAGCTGTCATAAGAGATTTTTATTTAATATGTATCGTTGTTCTAGTAGCTTTATTATAATGTCCTAGGCTAGTATAAGTATCACCATGTATTCAGCAAGTAAAGGATAAATAACTTCAAAAACACAGAAGTAATCTCCACAGATGTTATTGCAGAGATCAGTCAACCTCTCCAAAGCATAACTGAGCTAGAGGGAAAAATTATTTCTTTCAGTGTCTTGAATTTATAACAGGAGTCTTGAAAATAACTGGGTACCAATGAAAAAGTTGTCTAAAAAGGTGGTGAAATTCTGAGTAGGAAAGCTAAACTGCTGATAGGACAGCAAAAGTGCCCAGCAGTGCTGAGCATTGTTAATGCTGGAAATGGCCAAGCATAAATTCACTTTACGTCTGATGGTTTCAAAATGAGAAGTGACACACAAATCTACATTGCAGGAACAAATCTTCAAGATTGACTCCAAGTGTGAATCAGGAAAGGGACGCTGTTCTTTCAACCCTAATGTGAACACGGTGTCTGTTATGATCAGTAAGTAAAAATACTCCAAGTTGCTGAGGTCTAAACCCATATGATCATGCGTGGTGTGGATTGATGGGATGCCTGAAACGAGCTGGACACCAAATTCAACCTCCAAGGAGCAGCACCTTGTGTCTGGCTGATAGGCACAAGGCTTGGGTCCATCCTTGTTTCAGGGTTTACATGAAGCTAAAGGTGGGTGTACAAATGAAATGCAGAAATAAGCTGTTGAAAGGGAGAGAGAGAGAGAAACAGAAAACAAAAGATTGTCCCTTTTCCAGCTTGAACATTTTTTCCCAGGGTTAGTTTCAACTTTGCATTACCCTGTCTAGCATTTTATGTTTGAACAGTTTCTGACCTTGTTCATCCTAGACAGCACTTGTGTCTCATTTAATTATTTGTAAAATCTCAGAGTAGCCAGGGAAAGAAAGCTTGAAGACTTTAGTTACTTTGAATTTCATTTTTGTTGTCATCTCTGCTGTAGAGCCCACCAGCTATTGCAAGGCTCTTCATTCTTCAGTTGGCTTTATACCCAACCAATTCTGCAATTTTCTTCCATTTGAAAGGCCAGAAAGTGATACAACTGACACACCTCAAATATTCTTGTGAATTGGTGGTGACTGTACTCAGTGACTGATATATACCCCATACAAAGAATTACTGCAGTGCGTATTGCACACCTAACTGAAAACTCAAAGGGGGCATATGCTTTGTGCAACCTAAGTCACCAATAAAATAACTTTTTTTTTTTCCCCCCAACGAGGAGACACATTATACATACTTAGTGTAACCCAACCTTTCACACTGGCAGCATGTTCACATACTTCTAGTGCCAAAGCCTTGATTTTTCAACATGTGCCTACTCCTTGCTATATTTTTGGCTGTGAAGGGAACAGCAGTTGCACAGATTTTTCAGGCTTTCTTAGCAAATAAATCTTAGTGCACACAGGTACTGCGTGTTTCACCCAAGGTTTACAAGGGAACAATGTGTGGTGTTTCTGCCATTCAGCTTCCACTGAGATCAATGACAATTACATATTGTGCCAGATATTTCCTTTGAAGTTTGAGTCTCGTGGAGCTTAAGGGAAGTATCATATAGTCTATCCTACATGGTCTATTCAAAATATAAATTACCTTTTTTTTTTTTATTATTCCTCATTGCAAATATATTTAGTAAAAAGGACAAGTAATTTCATTCACAGAGGTATGAACTGAAGCACTTTTAGAAGACAGGTAAATGCTACCTAGATACCTCTCTGAACCTTGGCTGCACGTGTATCTTTATCTCATCAGTGATCTGTGGTCACTGATGGTCAGTATTTACAGACACTCACTGTGTAAAGAAAATGTTTGTTCAAAGTGAGTGATGGATTAATCCACTGCTATTCATTGCTGTTCTGGTATTAAGTGAATCAACTGTCATTAAAAAATAAAGTTTCCTCTCCTTGTTCCTTCTGGATTTTATGAAACACCATTAAAGTACATTGTTTCTGAATTACTGTATATACAGTAAGCTGGTTTTCTTCCCTACAATAGATCTATGGCAGCTTTGTTCATCTTAGTAGACTTTACATTATCTTCCTTGATCTCTCAGTTATGTGACTGAAAAGACCTTCCCTAGTGTTTGACTTTCTTTCATGACATAATTCATCTACAAAGTTTAAATTATTCTGCAAAGGTCACATTCTTTTTCAAAAGAGTCCCACAGATGATTGGGTTTTATCTTTTCTCCCAGTTACTACAAAGTCCAGTCACTTCAAAAACATTAAGCTTCAATGAATTTAGCCTCAATATCCATGCCGGAAAAGGGAAGATTTTGTAAGTCACAGCTTGAGTTATAATGAGGGGACCGAGCCCAGGTACTGGACTCTCCTTTGAGCATTCTTTTGCAGGAGGAATTCCTTCCCCTCGCTTCAGAAGGTGGGAAACACTGCCAGACCGGCTAACTCTTCCACAACAAAAGAACCATTTTTAAATATAGACGTGATTTCTTGACAATTTTGGGCATCACCAGCCTAGAATACAGCAGGAAAGCTGATTCACCCTTCAGAGGAAAGTGATGCTATAAAAGCAAATTTGAACTTGGTACAATTTGCTATTGTACAAGGACAATTTTGCATCAAAGCAATGAAAAATGTGCTTTGAAGAAGCTTGGCATAATTAACGTGCAGGATGCATGTCTCTCTCCTCATCAAGACTCTGAGATATTTGTAAAAGCAGACATACCTCATCAATTCAGTAATTCCCCCCAGTAACAAAGAGAAGTAGTATAAACTAGTTGTGCTGTGCAGACCAAGTGCTGCGCGGTTTCAGAACGTAACCAGAAGGAAGTGGAGCTAACAGATATCACCTGATATATGATTACCAAGCAGACACTAGGAATGCTTAAGACATAACTAATAGCATTGATATGTATGATAGGATTAAAATTACATAGTGTAGGTCTATTGTTAAAGTGTGTGTGTATGTGTATATGCGTAGGACTGTACATAACATTTAGTGAGAACCATAGGCCTGATCTCTTTCAGCCAATTTATTTCATAACAAGAATAAAGCTCTGACGGATTGAGGCAATGAGGCAAATATACAAAATCAGTTATAAATCAGTATAGATCTAACATCATTCTGTCAATACATGCTTAGGAAGTAAATGCTTCACAAACATGCAGCAAATGCATTGTTTAAATCCCCTGTGTATGAATCTTGTCATCACTGGGAGAGATGAGAGCAGAAGAGTGGCTGCTGGCTGGTCTGCAGGCATTCGGTTCAGGCTCTAGTCAGCAGCAGAAAAACAAAATCGCCAGAGTTTTAATTCTCTCATGAGCCAACAGTCTTCCATATTGATGCGCACACACACACAGAGCATAAAAATAGCCTCAAGCGCTTCTGAACCTGTGACTCTTGCCAGCTTGACCACACTCTCTGGGTAGTCCAGGAATTCAGACAAAAACATCAATCAAAGGACCCAGCTGTACTGGAATGTATTCAGCCACCACTCCCACTCTGAGAGTTAGAGTTTATTTTAGCTACTGTTTTCTACTCTGGGGTTTCATTGTCATTAGTCAGTGGAAATTGCTTGGTTATTCACGGAGTAGAAAATGATAGTATATGTAATTAGAATTATAATTATATATACGTATATTTATGCGCACACACAGACTCACACAAACACACATCTACATCCTGACTGATGGACTGAGTTTTCAGCTCTACACAGGGAGCAGAAGTTCATAGTTCTGTTAGTGTAAAAGTTGCGTGTCTAATTCTGTTCAAGCATAATGACCCTATACTTAGAATCAAGTACATAAAAGGGGACAATTGTTGTTCCGTATTACTCTGTGTAAAGTTCAATAATATGATTGTCTGGCCTCTGCAATACTGAAGTCAGCTTAAGGCTGCCTGGGGCAGCCTTGAAAATGCTGTTGGTAAAAATTGGCACTGATCCATTGACTGCAATAGATGTTGTGCCAGTTTACACCAGCAATAAATTCAGCCAGTCATTTTGTCTACTCCCATAACAAAAAAAGCTTTTTGAAGTAAATACTTAAAAAATTTAATGTGATTCTTTTTGATAACACTAGCCTGATTTTCCAGATTCTTAGCAGTGAAAATTGAGCAACTAAACTTCATACCAAAGAAAAGTACACCACATATGCAGTTCTGCTGTTGCATTTAAATTATGCAGTTCCCTAAAGTCTTTAAGAAAAATCTGATGATTCTCATGCATTCTAGATTGTGTCTGTAAATCAGAGGGAAACCCCATTCCCATGACCCAGTATTTGTCTGTATAGACTCCTGTGTAAATGAAGAGCTGATGAGTTTGAAAGAAAAATAGATCAGTAAACATGAATTTCCCAAAAGCCATAACAATGCATTTGCTTTTTCCCCTCCATTTCAATTCTTTGCAGATGAAGAGCTTTTTTCAGGAATGTATATTGATTTCATGGGGACGGATGCGGCCATTTTTCGGAGTCTGACCCGGAGGAATGCAGTGCGAACTGACCAGCACAACTCCAAGTGGCTGAGTGGTGAGATGCCTTTGTTTTACCAGAGCTTTTAATGGGTTTCACAGAGATTCTGCTTTGTTTTGTTTAAAATAAAGAGCTTGTCTTTTAAAGAGCTTTTCTCTGAATTTAATTTATGAAGTTGAAGCATGAAGAAACGTGTAAATACATATTGTAGACAATGCACAGATGTAAAGGGTTTGCTGCATGAGCCAACCTCTTAGGCCACCCCACCTGATGGCCTTTTTTTCATTAAGACTGAACCAAACTGTTCATGTGAAAGTGTATGAAAAGCTTTCAAATGGCAAGTGGTCAGACAATCTGACTTCTAGGGAAGTGTGTTCTCCACCTCTAATGCATCAGAAATTGCCTTAAATTAGAGTGCTTGATTGTAAGTTTATTTCTAATGAATTACCAACTTCAGTTAATTCAGGCTGATCCACCTCTGTACTGAAGACTCACCACCACTTGCATTCAAAATGTGTGCAGAAGAGAGTCCCATTTTTAGAGAAATCAGTGGCAATTATTGCCATTTATTTCAGTGGTAAGAAATTGATTATCAAAACACAGTAGGAAAACTAATTTCTGAGTGCAAACACTTAACTCTTGGCTTCACTGAAATCAGTGCGAAAATTATCCCTGACTTTACTGATAAGAAGACTCCTTCCAATTAAACTATTTTCAATTAAAATGGTGGTGAACCCTCTGAGCAGAGATAGGTGTCAAAGGTTATAGAGCAACTGGCAAAGCAGTTCCGATTTAAAAAAGCCCTCAGGTATGTTGAAGTAAAGTTACAGTGTTTTTGTCTTGACTCTTTTTAGGGTGACTTGTTATTCCTGTGTGGCTGTGACTACAGTGAAATCACAGTATTGCAATCAGAAGAAATTCAATTCACTATGAATGGGAAACTATGTCTGCTCTCTAAATTTTTCTTCTTTTGCTATACATTCTTACACTTATCTGCACACCCTGAAGTGTGCACACCCTAAAGTGAATTAGGGGAAAAGAACCATTAAAATGTCTAATTTCTGGAAAATCTACCTGTTACATATGCTCAGAACAGGTACTTGACAAGCACAATTTATGTCCATGTTCTTTTAGAGCCAGAGTCATGACATTTGTAATATTAATGGGCTCATGTGACTAGAAAAATGCTGCAGTCTAAAGTGAGTTTTCTGTCAGAGATCCAACCTTTGTATTGGATTGTTTCAAGATTTGTACTGTATTTCAACCAATCAAGCAATCTTGCATGATCACTGAAAAGATACAGCCTTCATGCAGGAAGAGGGTCCTCTTCTTCCTTCAGACAAAGGAGAAGGCCTTCTGAGGACTCTCCGCTGCCCATTATATGCTTGCTGTTAAGGATATAAATTATTTTGCTCTCTCACTAATGCTCCTTTGCAATGTTTTGCATGTACACTTGGTTACGTTTATCAACCTCTGATATGAAGTCAAATGCTGTTCAAGCATTTGCGTATCCTGCTTTCCTTTGCCGTGTTCCACAAGTTATTTTCCTCTCTTATTTATGTACCTTATTTGTTCTTTTCCTAATGAGTCTTTCAACAGCTTACTTTTAGGTTTTGCCTCAATGAGTCTTTCCTTAAGCGCCCCTGATAACACACTGATTCTTCCCTCTTCTTCCTCCAAGTCTTTGAATCTCTGCAGTAATCTAATACTACTGCTTCTCCATTTTAATCACTTTTCTAAAAATCTGCTGTGGGATAAAATGTGAGGACGCAGAAACTTAAGGCTGCCAGCAATAAGAAATTTACTGGTGATATCTGGTATATACAGACATGAGGCTAGAGCATATAGCTTAACCTGCCACAGCAGTATTTCTATATGCATTATATAGCATTTCCTTGAAGCAGTCAGTAACTGTCAAATCATTAATTGTTTATGCTGATACATCTTTTGGTTTCATCTTTTTGATATACTGTTGCATTTCAGAGCCTATTTTTGTGGATGCTCATGTTATCCCAGATGGCACGGACCCCAACGATGCCAAAATCTACTTCTTCTTCAAAGAGAGACTCACAGACAACAGCGGCAGCACAAAGCAAATTCATTCAATGATTGCAAGAATATGCCCAGTAAGAACTATTTTGTTTGCCAGGTTGTTGGAACAAGCTGCTAGTGTGACATGATGAGCTAAAAGACTAAATGATTGAAAAGCCTTTATATTTTCAATTTATATTCGAAACAAATTTCCTGTTTCAGCTTCCACATTCATAATTAAGAAGAGCTGTTACTGAACACACAACTAGGGTCTGAACATGTTATTTATATCTGGCTATACCTATAATGATATGGAAATTTAGAGATTCAGGGATTTGTGTATTTCTCTGACCGAGTCAGAATAGTTACCAGTGTTGAATTTCCAAACTTGCTATCCTTTGCACGAATTAGGTACATTCTTTGCTTAGAAAAACTGAATTATAAGATAGTGAAGTCTTTCACACACACACACACAAACTCAAAATCTTTGAAACACATTGGAAATATCAGAGCCAAGCTTTTAAAAGGGTTGATTTAACTTTTAAATATGGTTTTCATTTTTACAATATCTGTCCTTTCAGAGTTCTTGCATTGATGTATGTGTGAGCCTAACTTTAAAAATGTGCACAGGAAAATTAAATTCAGGAGTTACGGCTACTCCTGTGCAGTAATTAATTTACGATCACAGCGCTCCTCATTGTCTCTATTTCCTTTTTTGTATCTGTAATCAAGTGTAGATGAAAAATTATTGAAGCAGCTATTAATATCTCTGGTGAAATGGATTTTTTTTAATGAGAGAAAAATTATAAATGCACAGTTACTGCTAGCCTTTTCATTCCTTCTTTTGGAAAAGCTCAGGAAGATAATTGTGAGCGTTTGTGTATTCCCTGTCTTTAATCTGAGTCTTCTTTTGAATTTGGTGGTTTGTAACATTGCTGTGCATGGGTGTGAGGGCATGTTTGGGATTGTGTTAAACTCCTTCCCTAGCAATATAATGAGGCATGTGATCTCTTTAATAATCTCCATCTTCTATATTTTTGTGAGGGTGCCCAAAGGCCTTTTTGGGTATTTTACAAGAAGACATTTCACACAATTATAGCTGTATTTGTTATTGTTACTGTTATAATGAAGCCCAGATGATTTCTGAAGGGCCTCAGCCTGTTCAGACTTACACTGAAGTCAGTGGCAGAATCCCAAAGCCAATGAAAATAAATCTAAGCCGGTCATATTTGTATACTTGTGTACCATCATATTCATATATCAACACCTTTGAGACTGGCCAAATATATTAGCACAATGGTGCCAAGAAAGACCCACCCAAAAGACCCCTTATGGGTCACCCAAAAAGTCAGATTACCAGCTCCAGGAGCACCAGTGAAACATGCACAGCATTTCATCAAGATCACATTTGCCTAGCTTCTACATTTCCTTTTTCCCTTTCCTTGGGTGACATTGTGCTATGCAGTTTGGAAGATACTGCTTTTATCTAAGACGTTGACCAGCAGAATGAGGCAGGAGCTATCACCTCTGTGCTGCACCATCTGGTTTAGCAGTTACCGTTTCCACCTTGCACCGGAGAGAGATGGAAAGACTCTTGAGTGAGCTGTGACCAAGCCAGCTCCGGACCAAGCTAGCAGGACTTGCAACAGTGCAAAACTAGCTTGACCCATGCTAGCCATCATTTCTGAATTCAATTCCGAGCATCCATCTCATGGGCCAGCATGGCTTACTAGGTCAGATGTAGCTATACTGCTGTCAGGACTAGAAGAAACATCCCTCCATAGGACTATTAGACCTTTTAGAGGTGGCATGGACTTCTCCACACTAGGTGTCAGTGAGCGATACACCTCCACAGGCCTTTCCAATCATACCTACACAAACTGATGCTGCACAAAATCTACTGCCCAACCCTCCCAAGCCTGCTAGCCCAGCACAGAGAGTCTGCTCAGAAATCTAGTTCCTGTTTTTCCTGTATCTGGAGTGTTTAGATGAGGGGATTTGGTTTAGGCTCATCTATTTTTTTATATTGAATACAGCAGCATAATTGTCTAGAGGATGAGTCAAATTAACCTGAGGAAAATGTGGGAAATACCAGTAAAATGTTAGCTGTGTTGTATTTTTTTTCTGAAAATAATATTCCTTTCCAGAATGACACAGGTGGTCAGCGTAGTCTTGTGAACAAGTGGACAACATTCTTGAAAGCAAGACTTGTGTGCTCAGTAATGGATGAAGATGGAACAGAAACATACTTTGATGAATTAGGTATGGCAAGAAAAATCCCTTAAAAGTTTCATCTAAATCCTGCACCCTGTGCATATTTAATTATTGATGTTCATTCAGCTCCTTAGTCAAGTTGTTGACAGTGAAATCTTGGCCCTGTAGAAATTCATGACAAAATTCCCCTTGCAGTTTTATGACAGGAAATGAAAAAACTCTTCATAAATCTCTCTGGGTAATTATCATTATCTTTGAAATAAAGGTAATTAATCTTGACTATGTAAAGGAATTATGTATGTAAAGAATTAATATTTGGAAGGGAACAAGTGAAGTCTATTGTTATTTTGCTCCTAGTTAGGATTACGATAGAGGTTTTTTAACCTACATCTCTTTGAAACTGTTTCTTATACCACTGTGTAACACATAGCTCTTCCGCAATGCAGTTTTTCTTTTTTGATCACTGGGTAAAGGCCTCAATTTGATAGTTCAAGATAATACTAATAAATCCTGGTACTGGCACCAGTGATAATACTATGAATAAATACAATTTCTCAGGATTCGTTCAGGCACTTAGATTTTCAGTTCAACATATGAAACACTGCAAATATTCAGTGAATAATCTATACAGCAGTCACAAGAGGTTTCCTTTCAATAAGGAATTGGCAGATGCTTATCTTGATAGTTAAGTGCTAAACAACATTATCAGAAAGTTTCAAATTCTATATTGTCCACAGCTGTGATGTGCAAAGTCATAGTTCTAAATTCAGGTATTGGAAGATTTGGTATGTGTATTAGAATAAATATAAATATAAATATAAATATAAATATAAATATAAATATAAATAAATATAAATATAAATAGCTAACGGACCCCACACTGGGGCTGCATCTGATTCTGACCTTCTCTCCATTGTAATCTCTCTCTCTTTTCTCGGGCATTATTGCTGATTTCCATCATAGCAAATGGGGTTCAGAGTCTTTTTGACTTGGTATTGTTACAAATATTCAATGTACTTATATTGGTTCAAGGTTTCAATGGAACCTGATGGGCCTAGAAGCAGATCCTAACTTGCTCTAACTCAGAATGTGCAAGGTGCTTGGAGGACTGACTTTCAGAAGTTCCCAGTGCCTAAGCACTGCCACAGCAACTAATCTTTCAGAGCTGTGATTTACCAGCCCACTCCTTTTCAACAAAGCAGTAGGATAACCGCTTTTAGTTTTCTGTATGACAAGATGTAGGACCATACAGAATAGGAGACAATGTTCTCAGTCTGGGCTCCCAGCACAATCCTCTGGCAAAGAGGAAGAATACAACCACAGCTGGAAATGCAGAAAACTCAGAGAGAGCAAGCACATGCTTCTGTTTTCATGTATAATGCAGAAGAGTGTAACACTTCCAGTTCTGCATGGTGAAGTCTTTTGCTTTTGACATATTTAAAAGAATATTTAAAAAATTCAGAGAGTTAAATGAAGGAGCTACATAAATTAATGGAAAGCTAAAGAACATATTCTATGATAAAAAGCTCAAACAGTTCAGTCTTTTTGTGTGTTGTAAAATACGTTTAGGACGTAGCTTGATTATAGTTATTACAAACATTTGTAAGGAGAAACTGTCAGAGATTAAAGTATTTTTCACTGAAGTGTGAAAAAAAATCAACAGATCAGAGGTAAAGGTGGGCAAATTCAGCTTTGCATAGTGCAGTCAATAAATCTCTGCACAACAGAAGCTGGGAGGTATAAATCTCCGGTGTCTCCACTGCAAAACTGTGTGTCATTCATATCATGTTGAAAATGAGCTAGTGACGGCATCTAGAGTGTGTGCCAGATGATAAAACACCTAGTTGCCCTGCTTTGGATTACATCCGTCTATGGGAACTGTCTTTGTCTTTGACCTACTGCAACTTAAATGTTTGCCTACTGTTAAACAACCTGCTGAAACGAGATCCACCTGAGAGAAATGTGGGACATGGATCCTGAACATATTTGAAAATCTTTGCCTTCTGTCTTCATAAGGCTAGATGGCGTGGAGTTAATTTCCAAATCTGTTTCTGAACGTTCAAATGCTGGATTTATGCATATGGTCCATTCATACGGTAAGTCTGCTTTTTCCCATTCAAGTGACAAAACTA